TGTGACGTATGGCCATGAGCTAATATGGAAGAACAGAGAACCTCTGGTGAAAGCTTGGCATGAAATGAGGACAAAGAATCCAGGAAAAGGAGGAGGAGGAGGAAAGTCCAACTGATTCTGATCTTAGAGGTTACTTGTGCCCAAGTGGTATACTACTTGAAGACATGGGATGGAGTTGGCTTTGAAGGCTGCTTTTTACTCCACATAAAGCCTCTCAGGAGCTGAAGTTTCTAATGCAAACTACAGTTAAAAAATACGAAAGCATAGAAAGTGAACTCTGACAAAGGTGGAACAATAAAGGCTTATATACTATCGCTCCTTAAGATAACATGTACATTACCCTTTATTTTTTAAGCAGGAATAGGAAGGTGTTCCAGTGAAGTGGCTGGAATGGCAATAAAAAAAAAAAAACCTGAAAAAACAAGGAAGTCAAGGAAGTTAATGGATAGTCCATCCCGATATCTTCCAGTCAAGACTAGATGCTTTTATGTTTTAGACAAATTGGACTCCATGTAAGGCTAATATGGTAAAGTGGTCTTTTATTATTGAGAAGACTGGATGAGATAAGCCAGCCTGGGGTCTCTTCTAATACAAGCTTGAAATACATGAAGCAATACTGGATTGTGTATGTAGTCAGCTACATGATGGTTAACAATCCAGCTTTATTTATTTGGCTGGGGCTTTTTTTTTTTGTCCCCTCTTTTCCCTCCCCTCCTTGGATCTGCTTCCAAGACAACATACTTTGTCTGCTTCCAAGACAACAGATAACAACATGTTAGAGTTTATCACAATGGTATCTTTTTCCTAATCCAATGAAAGAATTACTTATATTGTGCTTTTGGATACAACTACAGAAAGCAGTAGAATTCATAGCATCTCTTTCACTGCATTAGGTTGTTTGTTTGTTTTTTGTTATCACTAGTTTATTTTTTTTTCCCAAGAATTTTGGGTCAGTAACTTACTTTCAGACTGTAAGAGTTTGGAAAGGATAAGCAGCTTCAAAAATGCCTGAGATCAGTAACCATAGTAAGCAGAAGTAACTGCTAAAGTAAAACTGATCCTAGTACTCTGATTGATGTTCCTATTACACAAATACAAAGAAAAAAGTATTTTTTCTATGCTACTATTCAGCGTCTGTCCTGCAACGATAAGTGCTGAATGCCTTGCAAGAGCCTGAGGACTTTGCCCCGATATGAATTGGTGGGATCAAGCCATTCCCTCCTCCCTGCGGGCTGAAATAATGTCATTCCAAAGTGACTGACCTTTAGAAGAACTTGGCATCTGTAAGAAGCAACTTGCGCTTTCTTTTTTTACGTTATAAGAGTGCATTGTAGAAAATACACATCCTGTGTTATGCTTTTATTGAGAAGTAGTACGTAAGTGCTTAAAGCATCAATTGTAATAAATCATTGGGAGTTCTTTCTCTTTTGGAAAAAGAGACGGTGGGGGTTTTTTCTTCTGAGCGTGGGTCTGTGTGAACACTTACAGAATGAGAGATTTGAATAGCATCTAATGTTTCTGTTGCTTTATTCCAGAAACTTCCTGGGTTTGTGTCCCTAATCCCTTTCACTTCCTCTCACCTTTCAACTTCCTTTCCTGTAGGCTCCCTTAGGAAGCAGGTCTCTGCAGGTCAGCAGCCCCGTGAGGGCAGCAGAGCACACAGCCACAGCGCTGGCCTGAGCCACGTCCCACCGAGGTGGACATCAGCTTCTTAAAAGGGAATGGTGATGAGCTGTGCTGGCATGAACCAAGCTGAGATTTTGCTGCTCTTTAAACATGCAGCTCTTGTCTTTATTCCCTCCTTTCCCTTTATCCCCTGCATTCCCTCCTTTCTGCTCTTCTTTTTCTCCAGTCACCTCTATGCTTCTTCATTTGTGCTGTGGTATTTTTGAAGGGCCTGGTGGCTGAGCACTTCAGCCAGTAGTGCAGGAATAAGTATGCATCAGCTTGAAGAACAAACACTTGCAGACCTCAACCTAGCCTGACTTTGGATTTTACAGGTAGATGGGAACTCACCAGGGTTACAGAGTAACTTTAAGTTCTTTACCACAGTAGCTGGTAACTACCTGGATATTAGACAACTGTGCCCTGGTGTCACTTCTTGAGATTGACATCCTACTCCTCCGGTCTTTTGGATTTGCTGAGACAGTAAGATACTACAGGTGGCAGGAGGGATGCAGGGGAACACCAAGATCTTTTCCAGCACACCCTTCAAAGCATCTGCTTTTCTTTGGATTCTCAGGGGCACAGGGGCTCAAAACTCAAAAAAAAAAAAACCTGAAAGCATCAGAGATACTCAGCAGTGACTGAGGAGGCTGTGGTCAGAGGGTCACATGCACAGGTATCACCTTAAGATTAGAGACTTAAGTGCTGTTAACACTAAGAATTATCCAATATCAAGTATTTCATGTTGTAGGAACCCTGGGCACATTCTCCAAAGATAAGATGATGCTCATGTAGCCAAGCAGTGATTTCCTTTTAAGACATTTTGCACCTAAGTCTTATGCAGCACTGCTTGCCAGTGGTAATATATCTTTTATGGTCCAAGAGTATTCACATTGAAATAGGGAAATCAATACTCACTACAGGCAGCCAAGAACTGGCTTAGACTTAATGACAGCTCACTGGAGTAAATAAAATACCTTTCTAGCAAACAAATGCCCTTTCAGAATTTCACATCAGCATCTGTCCATGTCTTATTATTCAACTACACCTTTGAATGGTAGAGAAATTACAAGAGTGCACAACAACAAGGAAAGACTTTTCCCCCTTTCTGAAAGTGCTTATTGTGAATAAAAATACAATGCAATTGTGATGTGGATGCTTGGCAGAGACAGCAGCCAGTGTTCATGTAGGAAAACAATACAACAGCAGCAAGTATAATATCATTGTTAATCTTGCAGAAACACAATTGTTCATACATTTTCAGGAGCTTTGAGAAAATCTGCTATGGTCTTGCCCTGTTTAAGGAGTATTTTGCTTGCATGTACTGATCTGTACTACTAAAATTTCTTTTTAATATTAGTACAAACTGTTTGAGGCTCCAGCCCCCACTCCTGCAGCAACAGCTGTTTTGCTTTCTGATTTGACAGCTTGTCTTTGTCTTACAGGTGCAGTCCCCCCACTCCCTTTTAATCATGATAGATCTCTTCTAAATGCAGTCAACTTTTAATCTCCTGCAGCCTCCTCTAGCTGTCCCGCCTGCGATACCTCTGTGCCCATCTCTCTCACTGCGTGAGCCCAAACTGGCGCTGACAGTGGACTCTGCCACACTGCATCAAAGCTCAACTCAGTGCGAGGAAGTGGCAGGCACAGACAGCAGAGAGGCTCCATTTGTGCCCTGATGTATTTTGCTCAGTCAGGCCTAGGAACAAGCATCAGAGCTTCATTTGTAGCACACTAGTGAAAACATGACAGAAATAGATGTCCTTTCTAATGACTGTAAAATCCATTTCTTTTACAAGGATAAAGTGACCTGCATTTGACCCAAATGTTGGTTATTTAAGAGGTAACTAAATAGAACAGACTAGTTCTAGAAAACAAAATCCAAAACAAAAAAGGATCAGAAAAATGATTAAAAATTGGTTCTCTACATTCTCCTAGACAACGACATTCGTGGAGTTTTTGGGCAACAGAAGAAATTCAGCTTCTTATATCCCACAGACTGGCAAGCCAGGACTATCTCAAACTGCTGAGTCTTTCTTGCCTTAACTAACCAGAAGGTAGTGGACAAGAGCAGCATTACTAGTAGTACTAGCAAGTGACAAACCAGACACTTAGGGTATGATCATCTCTAAACAAATCTTCATGTTTTGAAGAGAGAGAGGTGAAACACTAGAGCAGAGCAGCTAAGTCTATATCCACATTTTTATCTCTCCTCCACCCTAGGTTTGAGTCCAAACCTCAACTGAAGTCTAAGGTACAATAAGAGAGGCTACTTGATTAAGGCTTAAACTTCCTCAGTTTCAGTGCCTAATCACTAGACCTCAGGAAGTACCAACAAACCACCTGTTAAATTGATTATTACTTTCTAAAATGAGGCACCAGTCTACTTAGATTTTTGAAACATAATTTTTCTCATAAGGAAAGTCTCAGTTCAACTTTATGCTTCAATTTTTACTGTCTTACACTTTGGGGACCCGTCATTAGAGTGAAGATCTTTCATAGTAATACACTGAATAAGGAATTGTAGATTAGTATTATGTCCTATAGCCACTTATTACATAAGACATCAAAATCCAAAAGCCAGATGTGTCCCTGATGTAATTCCATGAGCTCTAGTGATTTCTGCCAAAGCTGTTTGGTTTTGACTAAATTTGCAAAGAAAAGATACAATCTACAGTCTTAAGTAGAGAGTAAATTATACGCATGATGTTAAATGGGTACTTAGATTTTTCCAAGTATAGAGAAGTGTATTATACTGTTTATGTAAATAGGGGGCTTTTTTTAGCATATTACTGTCCCATATCCAAAACGCTACATTAACAACATGCAGATTTTTATGGCTTGTGCACAGCACTTATTTTATATGCATCCGTTTATCCTTTGTACTCCACTGCTCTTTCCCCTCTGATCACAGATGATTTCAGCCAATTTTAAATTACAATTAAACAGCACGAGTCCCTGCTCAGCCAGTGCCTATGAGCAGCTATTCCCTGGGAGCAGAAAAGATCCTGGCTCAACACTCAAGCCAGGAGGTGCATTAGTGGGGGGGTGAGCCGGTGGCTTCCTGGGGGTCTCTGCAGCCCCCAGCACAAGGGGATGCAGCACGCGGGTGACAGCAGACGGGAGCAGCACTAGGGGCTCAGTGGCTGCTCCTTGCATTCCCGGCAGCTCTCACCAGCACTGGCGGCTGCACTAAGCGCCTTCTGGCCGCGGAAGCATCACGTGTGGCTGCCTGTAATCCTGGAGCGGGGGTGTCATTAACAGGGCTGGGGGTGGCGAGAGGAGGGGCCCGTATTAGCGCGGGCAGGAGCTGGGCACTGCCGCATCGCTGGGCGCGAGAGCAGCTCTGCTCCGTGGCGGGGCTGCGGCGCTGCGCGGGGGCCATGGCCTGGCCCTGCATCAGCCGTGTGTGCTGCCTGGCCCGCTTTTGGAACCAGCTGGACAAGTCGGACCTGTCCGTACCACTCACCATCCACAACTACTCGGACATTGAGGAGCAGGACGAGAGCGGGGGCCCCGCGCGCGGCGCAACAGGAGGCAGCCACACGCGCGGGGGCAGCCAGCTGCCTGTGGCCGCCCCGCAAGCGCCCGACACCCTGGCTGTCAAGAGGTCGGGCAAGGGGGGCTCTCACAGGAAGGACCCGGCCGGGGCCGCCGCTGAGCCCTTCGCCGCCAAGACCCAGTACCAGCAGGACTTCCGAGCATGGCCGCTTCAGAAGCGGGATGCATTCCCCTGGATTGGCACCCGTGGCGACTGCAGGAGGAACGGGGCCCCTGGCACCTCGCAGCCCGCGCCAAGCGCCTCCGTCTACGTCCTGCCCGCCAGCGTCAGGGAGGAGAGGCTCGAGGCGAGCAGGTACAGCGGCTTCACGCAGCTATGGCCCCGCTCACAAGGGGACAGCGGCCACACCACCTCATACAGGTAACGCCTGCCTCCCATGCCAGGTCCCTCCTGCCCTCTGGCCTCCTCCCTGGCAGCAGGAGCGTGGAGCCCGGGGTGCAGCTCCAGCCTGGGCTAGGGATGCTTGGCTGCAAGGAATGTGCAAGCAGCCACAAAGAGGCAACGTGGGTAAACAGGGTGGGGAGGACGGGGGTGCCCTGGGCACTGTGCTGTACCTGCCCGCCGCCACAGCCTTGTTCGCTTTCGCTAGTCAGTGTTTAAAACCATCTCGCTTTCTGCCTGCTTGCCAGCCCCCTGCCCAGCACGGTCACCGCTGTCCCGCTGCGGCACTGCATAGCTAGGGCACGTGTGGCTGCCAAACCTGCAGCTCCAGCCTTGGTGCATTTTCTGGCTTTTGGTGTAGTTAAAGGAGAGGACAGGGAGCAAGCCCTCCTGGTGGGACCGCTGCTGCTGTCCATAGCACAGCTCTGCCCCACAGATCCGCTCTGGGAGGGTACAACAGTTTCTACAGCCAGCTGCGCTCACCAGAAGTTGTGCTGAACTATACGCCCCACATTTGTCAATACTGCAGTTATTTTATACCCCTGGAATGCCACACTCAAGGTGAGCCAAATTATGGCTCAAAGCTCAGACACATTCCTGGGACGTACTCCAAAGATGCAGTTTAAACTGGTAATGACAATAACATACAATTGAAAACTTAACCATCACAAATCACCTTTAAGGGCTTTTAAAAAATAATTAAATGATTTTTTATAAAGTTACTGATGCCTTCCTTTCTCTTTCATCAGTATGAAAGATTACAGACACACGTTTTCCGAAATAAGCAACAAGGCCGGATGCATCCTAATTCAGCCCCAATTCTCATGGAGTCTCATTCATATTCACCCTGGGGAGGAAGGGAATTCAAGCTGCTACATGGCCAATACTAAATATTGCCTCAGTTTCACAGTGCTGCATGTTCTTTAATAATAATGTTAGACTGATGCTGATATGCCTATTAAGAATATTGACAGAGTAATTAATCTTATTCTAACCAAATCCCAAATATTTATACCCTAGCGATCTATTATGTACCTAAGACACATTTCTCTTTGTAACTGCAATTCGTATTAGAGTTTTCTAAGAGAAAAATACTGCAGCCCTGGAAAGGGTTATAAACGTGCATGCAGCGCATACTGCCCGTCCTCCTCCTCATGCAGGCAGCATCCCCAACACAAATGCAGCTAGATACTGTCCATGGAAACATATGACTGTGGTAGGGAATCTATGTGCTGTTTTATTCTTTGGCACATCTTACAGAACAAGCAGCTACTAAGTGATGATTTATCTTGAAGAAAAGCTTTTGAAAAGCTTGAAGAAAATACTTTTAAGTATTGCAACAGCACAGGAAGTACTTCAAAAGAGAAACCTGTCTCAAACAGCTTTAGTTCATCTCCTGGGAACAAAAATGAATGCTTAATGTGCCCTTGACTTGACCTCAGACCAAAGAACCAGAGGGATGTTTAAACAACAGTTGGAAGATGGATATGTTCCCAGGAAGGGAACTTCCCAGAAGTCACAGTTTCTATTAGAGAAGAGTCACTTTTTGCACCTTCCTTCCCCCCAGCTAATCTATTCTTGCACAGAGCTCACAACTACTCCAATAAAGGCCCAACAACTTCATAGATGAAGCACATGGTGAAGGTGAGATACCAGATCAAAGCAGAAGTTTTAGGAAAAATAAGAAGCTGAGTTGTCCAAGAATTCATCGCAGCTCCTGCGAGGATTGCTGTGCACTGAAGGCAGAGCCGTTGCACGGCCGGCTACACCAACATGGCCTGCTCACCTAGTGCCTTCGAGCTGTTGCAAGGTTACACACTAGAACTAACGTAGGCAGGTGGACCTAAAGCACCAACCAGAGCATTGGTATACTAGAGTAGACCTACACAACTGAAACCACCTTTGTCTCATTCTAGTAATTCTTGCAGTTTCTTTGAATTATCATTTAGCACAACATTTTTCACTTGTTAAGAAATCTCCCCTCAGCTGAAAACAGAACATGTTGTAGGCTAAGCAAGTCACAGGAGACACAATAGAGAGCAGAAATAACAACGCCCGCAACAGCCTCCCAGGGCAGCAAGAGTCTGCTTTGATATATGATGTTTGCTTTTTCCTTTTTCAAGCAAGACTAACCAGGATTGAAGTGACTAATACTCAGCATGGCTTGTCACATTCACATGCAGTTACTCTTGGAGTGCTGAGCTTTTGTTTAATAATTTAAACCATGCTTAAGCTGCAGAAACATCCTACTAGTGCTGGAAAAACTCCTCACTGTAGGCTGGCAGATGGGAAGCCACGACACTACCATTTTTTACCAGACACACCAACAACCACAATGACATTTCCACTAATAATACCACACTGCAGTCCTCTCTCCATGCCTCATACCTGTGCTTTAAGGGCAGCGTCCCAATCTGCAAGCATCAGCATCATCTCCAGGAAAGAGCTGAGCAGTAGCACAAGGAGTTCCTCATGTTCTCTGAGAAAGGCTAGAAAGCTCCTCCTTGCTCTTTCCCAGGGTCTTTAGCAGCCATACAGAGCTACCACCTCCATTAACCTCCTACAACAATCACCCACTTAGCCTCTTGTAGGCACTAGTCATGGAAAAGCTGGCCCACCTGACCCCACTGGTGGGCCGAGCAGCTGCTGAGGAAGCAGAAAAGGCAAATCAGGCAAGTGCGAGCCTAGTCTGCTGGGGTTTGGCCTGAGAAGGGGCAGCTGGAAGGTGTTTGAGGGGAAGGTTGGGTGAAGCAGGTGATGTCCTAAAGCACATAGGAAAAGGGAGGATGCGTCTGTGCTGGAGTGCAGTGTTGGTTAGAGAGCTCACTGGAGGAGGAGACGTATGGAAAACACCCCAGTGCTTGCTCTGGTCCCCTCGTTTCCTTTTTAGGGGGGACCTTTGGGCAGGTCCCACCTCTTTGGGTGTTACAAGAGTTAGAGATCCTGCACTGCACTAAGAGCAGGCAGGACAAGACTCCTCGGCAGGGGAGCATCTGCAGCAGCTGCTTGACTTGTGTGCACTGTAGCTGCTGTAGCAAGCTCTGCACCAAGGCAGGTCACGCAAGCAGCAGGAGGCTCTCACTAGAGCACTCAGCAGCTGCAGTGAGCACAGGGCCAGGCAGTTGCCTGCCACAGGATTTTATGATGCTGTCAGGTCTCAGTAGTCAGCTGGGTTGGCTTAATATTAAAGAGATAAGATATAAATGGGTGGAAAAGTTGGCTTTGTTACATGGTCTGTTCTAAGCTTTTAGTGGCACTGATGAATTTGGCTTAATTCTGTAAGTACTTTTTAAAAAAAGATTCGGGGATTTTGATTATGTTTCAACAACACTCCATCGCGCATTTGTTCATGTGCAGCAGGAAGTCCATGGTAACACTGAGCCTGGCTTGGTATACTTTTTGCACACAGGGTAATGTTTCTGTGAGAAATCATTCTGCAAGTTCCTCCTCTGTCTTTCCTCCTACATCTCTACAATTTTTTTTTAAGCACAGAAGGAAACTCGGCTGCATGTAAAGCAGGCTGCAGCCTTTCCTACACTTGCTGCAGTTAGCTTGATCAGGTCTTTTTACAAAACTGAGAAAACAGGATCAGGGATCAAGACAAAAAGGCCAACGCTGTTCATAGTCACTTCAGTGCAAGTATTGCTAGGTCCAAAAAAAGATGGAATGGGTATCAAAATAATGTCTGTTCTTTACCTTGCCTCCTGCTCTCCAAAATGTTGCCCTGTGTTATCTTCCTTTTTCCCTGGATTTCCGTTGGAATTCTGCCAGACTCCAAATGAAGTCAAAGGCCAGGTGGTCTACATGGGGGAAGCTCAGCCACCCAGATCAAGCCAGATCAATATAAACTGCACATCAAAGGCAAAAATGGGATGTTCCCTCATTGTGAAATGACTCCAGGGACTGCTGTACAGTGTTGCAGTAAACTCCCCCTCACTGATGCTGAAAGACATAGAACAGGGGGCTTCAGGGTCTCTCACTACATTCACAGAAGGGTCCTCCCCACCAAGCAAGGTATCACAGAGCATCCCCTTCCCTCCACACTATGTATGCAGTCACAGAGCCACATATTGCTTTGTTGTCTGTTCAATTCACCTACCCTAAACACTGCTTCTGCACAAGGGTCAAGTGAACTGTGGTGAGCAGTTCACACTGAAGCATCTTATTTCAGGTGTGCAGAGGAAAAAAGAAGTCACTACACACATGTTCAGCACAAAATGGGATTATGGTACATACCTGAGCTGGCAGTGTTAAGAGCACTGTGAGGAGCTCAGTCCTTGATCCAGCAAGATATTTAAACACATGCTTAACCTTAATAATGGAAGTAAAGCTTTTATAATCAAGTATATAAAGATAAAGATAAACTTTAAGCCTTAAGTATCTTGCTGCTTGGGAAAATTAATACTGAAGTCCCTGACTTTTATGGTATTTTAGATGTAAGCTATAGCCTAGTTGGGGCAGAAGGTGTTGAGGAGATGAACAGAGGGTTGGGAGGAGAAAATAAGGGCAGTTGGGAATAGATGTCTCAAGAGGGAATCTCCTTTCTGTCAAACAAGCTTCAGAATTGAAATGAGGAAAATCCAAAGGGGTTGCATAAAGCTACCTGGAAGTTCCTCCACTCAGCGTGCATCCAAACCTGTGTTGGAGGAAAAGGGAAAGAATGGGAAATGGAATAATTACAGAAATGAAGACCCCGAGACCCACCTACAAACTCCCATTCCCACAGTCATCTGACAGGTCACAGTGCATGTTCCTTGATGGTCTGCAAGTGGGACAAACCCCCAGACCTCAACCCAAGTCTATGGTCTGAGGTGTGAGTTTTTCTCTCCCAGCCTTTCAGTCTCAGCCTTTTGCTGCTGTTTCTCTCCTGTGAGATACGAGCTGCTCCAAGTTCTTTTTGACTTTGTTACAGATGAAAACCAAGACAGAGAGAAGCCAGGTTTGTCCTGTGTAGTCTTGAAAATCTCCAGTGGAACAGATGCTGCAAACCACGACTGTCAAGTAGACAGATCTCTAGACATCACATTTCACTCCTTTTCTCCTGCCTCCTCCTCTATAATTCCTATTTGTTGGTCTCTCTACCCTTCAACTCCTTCCTCTATTATTCTAACTTTTCTTGCATCACCAACACACCGCTACATCTTTCCCCCAGTCACAGACACATACTGTGCTCTACTGGCCAAGTATAAGAATGGACACAATCTGCTCAGGTGTCCAGGGCTTGGGGAGGCCTCCAGCATCCCATCTCTATCTAACGTGGCTCAAAGAAGGACCTGTTGGATTGCTGCATCATTCCGCAGGGCTTCTGGCTTTGTCTGTCCCATAAGGCTGCATCCATGACTCAGGCTTTGCTCTCTTCATTTGACAAGGAGTTGCCCTGATCTAGACAGGCCTTTACTGCACCTCCAGCAGTGTGATTCACCCAGGCAGGCAGCCATCAGCCCTCAGGAAAACTCCAGCTAGCACACTGCTCACCAACAGGTTGCCTCTCCTTGGCTCCTCACCCTGGTCTCTGGAGGGGGTTTCAATCAAGTCAAGATCTCTTTGCATTCTGAGGTCCTGGGCAGTAGCGTATCACCTGAAGCTGCCTAGCTGGCCTCTCAGCTGTGCTTTGGTCAAACAGAGCCGTTTCCACCGTAAGGGCAGTGGCACATCTGCGGCAGCAGCTTGGCTGAGCAGCTGCAAGGAGTCTCCTTTCCCTCTGAAGAGAAAATGTGACAAATGTTAGTTAAGCCTGTTAATTCTCCCTGGGGTGCCCGGGCATTACAGAGACGATTACAGACGATTCGGCCGCAGAGAACCAGCGAGGAGGGCTTGGGTCACCATCGCTGCTCTGCTACATTTGGCCTCCACCTGGTCTCGGAAGACTCTGAACCCAGCGTGTGGATTCCCATCTCTGGTGTGGCCCAGGCCCGACTGGGTAGGTTCGGCTACCAAGGACTGACTGATGGCGGATGAGGCCTGCAGGAGACAGATCTCCCACGTCCAGCCATGCTAATGAGCAGTGTTAAATCCACCCACATGCCTTTGCAACAGGGATCTTCTCTACCAGCAGAAGAGAAGATGTTGGTTTTGTCTACAGGCTCCCTGTGCAAGAGAGGTCCATGGTGGCGATCCACAGCTGGAAGGATGTGTTAGGATTGGATCAGAGAGCCAGTCAGTCAATGAAAGTTTCCAGATGGATTAAACACTCACGGCACAAACAAACACCACATCAGAGCAGGCTGTCAATCCAAGGTAAAAGAATTAGCCTATTTAAAAGCAACCTTTCTCCCCATTCATGAAAAATGCTGCCCAAGAGACCTAACATACAGGTGGTCCTGCTCACCCCAAAGGCAGAAAAGGCACACAATCACTATCTAATCTAAACAGCTCTCTTCAAAGTGAAGATTTGCATTAACCCTCTGGTGACAATAACAATGCAATGACTTTTTTGTTGTCGTCGTTTATAAGACATGCATTGATTTTACTGCCATTTGCTCAGTTTGCAGCTACCACTATGGGGTTAAACCATCCCAGCAGGAAATAAGCCTTTCAGCTTTCCAGAGGGGCTTTAATAATGTCCCTCTTAGACTGCTCAGATCCTGACACACTGTAAGAGAAAACAAACAAACAAACAAAACCCCAAAACTTTTAATCTGTTAATCAGAAATGGGAAGCTGCAATGCCTAGACACCTGACAAATCAGTGATTTATATGATTAGAGCAGTTCCACAGAAAACTTGGGCAACCATCTGCGAACAGCTTCTTGGTACTGCTTCTATAGCAAGCCAGATGTGAAGAAGCAGCATTACAACCTCTGAGCAGTCCTTTTGATCCCTACTATCCAAAGCTTTCCTACAACTCAGGAAAAGTTGTAGTCCTTTCCTTCTCTTTCACAGCTCCAGTGCTTTAGTAAGACTTATACGTAAAACTGGGTCATTTCTATTTACTGGGTCATTTCTATTTACAGATATCAAAAGGTTCACCTACAGGTTATAGCAACAGAACTAAAGAGAACTTGGGAACTGAGGTTCTTGGAGGCTGTATCCCCCTCCATGTCTGGCAGTCCCAGAGACATCTGCTTTTTTTCTTTTACTAGTATAGGCAGGCAGAAGTGGGCAAGGGAGGAAGAAGCAACACGCCGTTGAGCTGGTCTGACACCCAGCTTTCTCAAACACTCACCATGAGCACAACGAGGGAGATGAGTCACTAGATCTTGACAGAGCCTTAAATTAACTGAGTGATGTTAGAAATGAGATTGTTCCTCTTCCCCTTGCTCCAAGTAGGCTGAATGTTCATATGCATTTTGATTCCATTTGTTACTTTATGACTAATTTCTAGTCAAGTTATTGAGCCAGCATTTGGGCTCTCACTCCTTTTGGCTCTTCACTATGCAGTTGCAGATGAATATTTGCATCCTGAAAGCTGAAAGGCAGAGATGTTTGCTGTACTTTCTGGACGAAAATTTTAAGTCCTCCAGTTCCCAGAAGGAAGATTCCTTCCCCTTTCCTTCAGCCTTCTCCTCTGTCCAAGGATTCCAAGTTGCTCCAGGAGGAAATCGGGGGTTCAGATAAGAGTGCTATGAATCTCAGCCACTACATCTGCCCTCACAGTGTAGTGCTGTTCCTATGGGTACAAGTACAACATCTCCCCATTGCATGTAGGTTTTCAAACAGCTCTAGCTATCTAGGCCAACAGAGGAAACAGAGAGGAAAAAGATTGGCTTCCAGCCAAAATGAGAGCCTGATGATCCAAAAGGCCAGTGCTTGGGTGCCTGCCAAATCAGCAAATGATCTGTTACAAAGCAGTGGGACAGAGCTGCTGTGGAGAAAGGCAGTACAGCCATTCACTGAAAGCCCAGGGACACACTGCGTTTCACTGTGATACGGCAGGGAAACCAGCCACCACACCAGTAAATAGCTAAGAATCAATCCCAACAGCATCCTCGAGGCAAGCCAGCTTTATGTGGAACAGCAGGTTCAAGTGCCTGGAAACTGCTCATATGTAAATAATAGCTCTGGACCATTTTGCTGGTATTTTGCCCAGTAGCTGGGTGTCCCCCCACTGCCTGCAGGGCAGAGCAGAGCTCAAATTTAACTAAGTAATCACACGTCTGGGATTTCCCGTTACAAGGCTGCCTTCTTGAGACTCTGCTGGGCAATGCTGCCTTTCTGCAGGGCACTTGAGCACTCTCAGGAGCTGGCGCAGCAGTAACAGCCACCTGCAGAGCCAAACAGGAGGCTGCTCTACTACTGGAACGGGTCTGCAAAGCAAGTTGCAGAAAAGGTGAAAGAGCAGCACCTCAGAGCACCAAGAGCAAACTCATTACAGGCCACATTTGCAGCACACACGGGCTGTGACAAAAGTGACGGATACGGAGAGTGGGGGATGCAGAAGGGCGCTAGCAGTCTAGCTGAGCCAGCCTTGCAGGCTGCCTTTCAGAGCTGTTTGAACTTGAGCCTCTTTCTAAGCGGGCAATCTCTGCATCCATTTCTTAAGCCACCACTACTCCAAAAGTTATAACCAGCCAAGCACCTCCGACATCAACATTACCATGCAAAGTAAAAGCACTTGCTCCCACATGAAGGGAAATAACAACTGAAGCATCTGCCAGCTGAGGTGGGGCTTCCCTTTGGATGCATTTCTGACTAAGTGGTCACAAAAGCATAAAACGTCACACAGTGGCAAATGCACCAGCTGCCAAAAGAGCCAAGTCAAGTAAAGAATCAGCAGCAGCTGCTGGTCTCCCTCCATGCGAGGGAAGACTGGAAGTCCAGAGCCCCAAGCCAAGATTCTTTACATTGTAAGCAGCCAATGAGTCATTAAAACCTATAAAGCAGATCGTTAGCCTGCCTTTTTTATCCAGGAGAAAAATACCAATCACCTCCGAGAGAGGAAATGAATGTGCCAGAAAGCGAAGCAGAAGACTTGCACCAAGGTAGTCAGTTATCCAGTCCATGACCTGTTGCCTCTTCCACCAAGTCTGGGCTTTTGAAGAGAAACAGCTCCTTGGCTCATTTCCTCTTTACTCCTGAACAGCCTTACATGAGCTCAATCCTGTGAGCTGATTCTATCTAGTTTTACCCCCATTCTGAGCAGAAACACAATCTCCCTGCTAGTTTGTTGCGTGTTATGGCTTCTTCTGTGTTGACAATCTTGTTTCAGGCAAGAATATCGCCCATGGACTGGAGCAAAACCATCCAAACCTATAAAGACAAAGCAAGGCTTCATTATCCCCGAAGAACATTTTGTTCAAGAGACAAGCTACAAGGCAGATTTTAAGGTAATTAACACTTTTTAGAACCCAGTGTCCACATGGGTAAAGCCCAAAACATGCATTAGCAACTCCTCATTTGTTAACCAGTGTGGCATGCATAGATTAAAGCCATGTTCTCATTGACCGCTCTTTCCTCACTGTTCATTAGGTAATGCGGCCATCCCTTGCTTTCAGAGAGACATGCTAAAGAATGTTTTTTCATAACTTAACATAATGCAACCCTGAGACCAAGATTTTAAACTGCATGAAAGTCGAGCAGTTCAAGATTCATGATTACCACAATTGGATACCTTATGTACAAGGTGTGTGCCATTATATATCTTTGTATGAGGTCCATTTAATAGGATATGGCTATAGTAAGTGCACTCAGGCCTATCAGGCTTCCTTGTGATTTTCCAGTGCATTTCTATGATCTTTTCTATCAGCATAAGAATGTCTTCTTCTTAGCCATGCATATCTAAGCGCTAGTGCAAACCTCCGAGTTCTCTATTTACTCAGCATTTTCCCTGTCAGGGCCCCAAACACCCAGCGTTCTGGTAAGGAAGTAAAAACTGTACACAGAAAGGGCCATGGTTTAGCAGCGTTTTGCATTAGGCCACCACAGAGAACCATGCTTCACTAGCAGCTGCAAGCCTGATCACCAACTGCACTAACTGCAGTTAGAAAGCAGAGGCAAGGCTACGGGAGGGTTTCCCACCTGCAGTACTTGGTGCCATTAGAGAACAGCAGCTCCTCTAGAGCCACTTGTAAAAAGTAAATCTTTGTCTTGAAGGAAATGAGAAAGAAACACTTGGTCAGCAGGCAGCCAAATGCCTCCTGCCCAGAGGACTGCTGTCTCAAAGCTCTAACAAAGCGCATAACTGATGTATCCAGCTTGACTAAATGTGGGACAGCGGCCTACTACAGAGCAAGGGAGAACCTGCTAATCCTATCAAAACTGCCTCTCTGCTCTGGAATGTCTTCTGGGATAGTCTGGGATGTTTTCTGAGGCACAGTAACAAAGTCAGAGGGTTGGTACTCTGCAGAGGCAAAATACTGTGTCTCAGGCTCAGTCAGCCCAAGACTTGGGCAGCTGCAAGAGGAGGGAGAAAGGAAAGATGGCAGCAGTGGGAAACACCACCAGTGTCCTGCCAAGAAGTCCAGTGTAGAAGGTACTGCCTCCCGTTGGCCAAGATGTGGAGTGCTGTGGGCAAGATACGCTCCCTTCCTATGCTTTCAGTGTTGCAGACAGGAGCCCAGGGAAAGGGCCCATCAAAGGTCCCAAGAAAGCGAAAAACAGAAATGGGATCCCAGAGACATTCTGAGACATCCCTGAAGACATAATACTGCAGACCATGTAAGCGAGGTCTCACGGGGACCTTTTTAGCATGGTCAGTAAAGGCAAAAGCGCAATCTGGGATGGAGATGATGCTGAAGAACCACTGGTTCAAACAGAAGTGAGAGTGTTTGAAGTACCTGGTTTACACATGGCCATCTGGATTTTCCCTCTTGCCTGAACATGGATTTGCTAGATGCTTGAGAAGTCCGTTTATGTTCTGGCACTCTGCATGCAAGACTCGGTGCTGATTTTTTCCCAGCCACCGAGCACTACCCAGACTTTGTTTGTGACGCTAGTCTTGTTCCTCAGTGTTTCAGATGCATCCCCAGAGGGGTGGAAAAAAAAGGAACAGTGTAACAACAAAAAAACAAATCAACAGCTATTTTCCTTTCTCCTAGACTCTCTTGTTCTGTGGCCTTGCTCTTTTTCTCTGCTTGGGCAGTGCCATCAAAATACTCAGCACAAAGCAAAGCTTATAGTCGTTTTGTGGCCAGATTCATCCAGAGGTCTGTGCTGGATGCATAAATAATCGCCCAGCCATGGCTGTCTTCCTCTCACAGAACACACCTCAAGGTCTAAGGGCCTGGTTCTAATAAAACAACTCCTCCATGGCCAAGCATTATACACCTCCCCTTGAATCATCCTGAAAGCTTAGACCCATCTCTGCTATGTCTATCCGAGAGCTTAATGGTTATCAGGTAATGGCATGTTACAGAGCAGAGCAGATATGCAGAACACTTTGGTGTGAATTTTAGTGAATCTAGAGTTGCACCTTGTGTTGCACTAACATTTCTTCCCCCCTGCTCACCCCATTAGATTCCAGAAGCGAAGACCAAGTTCTCTCCCAATCCTTCTGCTGTTTTCCAGGCACCATCGCAGATCCTCAACGTGTGAATCTGGACCCCGTGCACATCCAGGCAGCTTCAACGTGGGCTGTTAAGATGTATCACTATGCAATTTTTATGAGGAGTGTTATGATCAAAGAACCAATATTATCAAAAGCAGCTCCAGTGATTAAAGATACGTACACACACTTTCTGTTAACACACAAACTGCAAAGCACTTGACTCAGAACTGGCAAAACACTCAGCAAGGAGTGACCTAGATTTTCACAGAAACGGGTTCATTACTATGCCAGCTGGTATTATATGAGGAGATTGACTTTGGGCAACAAAGCCTGTATTGCAGGCAACATTCCTACGCTTAACTACACAGGCTAGGAGGGAAAATTCTCACAAACAGGATAGATAATTAAAACCAAAAAGAGTCTTATTTAACAACACCCTCTAAAATAGGCCAGTGAAAGATCGGAAGTGTCTGGCTGACTTCTGAGCTTCTTGGTTTATTTTTCTTTTTTAAGATAGGAAGCTGGAAAGCTGAGTATTTCCAAAACTGGACAATTGACAGAGAAGCAAGAGGGGACTGAATTTCTGAAGATAGCCCTGAAAATAAGGCACCAACTTGGTTCAGAGATTAGAGCATGGATGGAGTCAGCTAGATACCGCCAGACTCCTCAGGAGCAAATGTAAAACATTTATGTAATTTGTAGAGTTGTGCTTGGGGCAAGTGTAAATACTGTACATGGATTTTAGCTAAAGCAACTTATGATCCTTTAATGAAAAGGATATGCTTGTACTTTTAGTAAATGTTAACTCTTTGCATATGCAAGGTAGAAAAATATATTGCCTTGAAATTCCTGAATTATTGCCTGTATATGGTAATGCTAATACTAAGAACAACCAGAAGTGAATGTTACGTAGAAACTTTTAAAAAGTAGAATGTAAGACATCCTTCATTTCTAAGATAGTCTATCTGAAGTGTCATTATCCTAAAGCTGATTTTTTAGACCGACGTGGATTTAACTTTTGCTGAAGTATTTGTGTTTTGAGAAACCCTTTTCTAAGCCTTTGTTCATCCTGTAGTAGGTTTCAAGTTTCTATCTCAAGGATTTATGTAACATTATTAGTCCACTACTTATTTAATGCTTTTCCTAATTACTCTAGGGGAAAACAAAGGAAATAGAAAAGCTTTAACTTTGTGTATTGGAAATATGTCTGCTAGAATGAAAGGAAACTGTATCATCCAACTTGAATAACGATCATTCACCTGTAATGAAATGTACTTCAACACAGGAGGATTTTTTCCTTAACCTTCTAGCGCTAGTCAAAGTCAAATTTACTGAACTTCTGGGACTCTGCAAACACATATCAATGGCTGATAACTCCTATAAGAACAATTTTTGAACTGCTGGCATGTGGATTATACTTGAAACTTATGCAGACTGCATCTTCTCATTGCATTATGTGATGATTTAAATGGAGCCATCTCTGTTAGTTATTTGAACAGGACTTAAGAATTTAGACTAAGCACAACTACAGGTAATATCCTCAGTAAGCTGTTTGGTGGGGGGACAAGGAATGCAATTTCTCACACTTGTCCTTTCATTTGGACCCAGAGGAACATACAGTAACACCAGTACTTGCCAAAAAAATTTTCTGTAAAGTCTCATTTTTCAGGAATTTCACCGAACCATTCAAATTCGACTACAGATTTTGCATGTTAGATGTTTCTAAGAAAGAATTCAATTTGCTTGATTAATCACTTTATAATGTTTTTAACAGTTCTGTTCAAATCATTTCAGTTAATTTCAATCCTGGACTTTATTAACAGCAGAAAAACAAATATTGTCTACTTAGTCTGTATTCTTAATTCATTGTATTTCTAAAAAAGAACAAAAAAAAAAAAAAAAAAAAAAACAAAAAAAAAACCAAACCCAGTTGTGAACAAACTGGTAATATAAGCTTGTATTTTACCAAATGCACTGTAAGTTGATTTAATAAATTAAAATGTATTTTAGCTATTGGTTCTTTCCTCAAATTCTTCTTGCTGTAAAACAAGTTGTTGCTGGATATTTAGTCTCAACAGGAAGTTTGTAATTTGCTCTCCAATCTGCAAGTGTTGTTGTACAGGCAGTCAGTATTACAGCCACTATACAGCCCTGCAGGGCACAGACTGGCCAGCAGCACATACAGGACGCCAAGCAAGGGGTCAGAGCGATTCCTGACTCTGCACTCGCACCCTGTTTCCAGTCATTTACTACCAGGAGAGGTAAATTCCTTACTCTTCAAGCAGATCTGCAGGCATAGATCCCTAGGAAGAATGATTTCTGAGGCACAATTCAAACCATGGCGTATCTGACTGCTGATTTAAAAGCACAACTGCCTTCAAAGGGAAAGCCGTTGCTTGGCAGAATTCATAATTGCTTGTGGGATTTTTCCCCAGATGCTTTCACACAAAAAGCAAATTATTCAAAAGGCAGTTAATCATCACGGGGAATGGGACTGAACCGCTAACACTGATCTGCTGCATTCACCATCAGACGCAGAGGCTGACACACATGGATGCCACGCTCCCAAGACCCTCTTTCAGTGCCGCCCTGTTAACAGAGAGCCACACAACTTGCCTTTTGCTTCACTTCCCCTCCGCTGCCTTGCACAGATCACAGGCAAATGCTACTAATTTAAGATATTCCTTTAGAGCTGCTTCCAAAATCATTTTTCTGAGCTTATGAACGTGCCAATTATCCAGCCAGACAGCATGCCCAGATATGGGACTTCAAGCTCTAGCTACACTTTGGGAGATTGCTTGGAGAAGGTCATGGCTTCTGATGCTGCTTTCCAGCTCCAAGCAGGGAAGAGGGAAAGGAAAACCAAGCAGGTACTGACCAGCTGAAAGGGGTGGGAGATGACCCAGGCTGCTGCTACCTGCAACACTCCTGCTTGGGCACAGGAACTGCCTGCCTCTGCCAAAAACACTGAACTTCTCTGAAGCCAGTGAATCTCGGATGCAGGTTTAGCAGTCTCCAGATCGTCACAGTGCAGGGACTGCCTCCATCACAGCTCTTATGCATTCGTGTTATTCGTGTTCCCCATTGCCCTAGGTTCACTTCAATCCATTAGCACTTTCCTACTACAAACCACCCTGCAAGCAAGGGCTATCTGACATTAAAAAAAAAAAAAAAAAAAAAAACCACCTCTTTACAATGAAGGTTTTACATCTGTGCTGCTGTAATTCACTTCCTATAGGATGGCACTGAATGTGCTTTTTTGTTTTACCTCCTGCTGGCAAGCAGCACTTGGCCTGTTGGCATGCTAAGGGTGAGGTTTGTGCCAGCCACCCCCGGGTCTGCAAGGAACCAGGACCAGCCACACTTCTGCATGCTCAGACGAAGCTTTGCTGTGTTACATACTCTGTGACTCAGTGCTCACTGTCTGAACTGAATACCTGGAAAGTTAAAGCAACACATTAATAATTTCTGGGTATACAAAGAAATTTCCTTTTATAAACTTCAGATATCTCTTTGCATTGCATGAATTTCTTGTGGGAAAAACAATCAGATAAAAAACCTCTTAGCTCTGCCCTCTCCCTACAGATTTGCTCTGTACTGTACATCACACAGCACTGCAGGATCCAAAGGACCAATGCAGTTTATGGTGCACATAACAGTGATGCTGTTCACTCCTGTGCTAGCTCTAGGTAACCTGTTAGTGCATTTTGGAAGTGGATGCTGCAGCACCTCCTGGGAACACTGCAACTGCTTCTGTAGCCATGAGACTAAGGCATTAATCACAAGCCAACCCACTGATTTCAGGCCTTTGCCAACTGGGAAGACAGCAACAGGCTATAAACATGCCTTAGAGCCAGAGACAGATGGCAGCTATTGGGCAGAGATCCTCCTTGCCAGAAGGGAAGGCTAATAACTGAACCCAAGAAAAATCCCGAGGAGTACGTGCTGGCAGGAGGTGTTCTGCGTGAATGCATTTCCATCTCCTGCAAAGGACAGCCTTTTCCTGCATATGTATTTGTGAAAACGTCAAAGCCAGAGGGCAGCCACATCCGCAAGTGAGGGCATCAGCTGAAATACTCCAGAAAGCATTACTACACTGACTGACTACAGGACAGTCGGCTTTCAGTGAGCCCATTTGTGGGGCTGGCGCTGACATTGCAACACTACACTTTATGCTCTACAGTTTATGCTCGATTTGAGGGGGGTCTCCTTTATGGACTAACAAGAATCACGTTTCTAGTATTTTCAAAGACAACAGTGTGGAAAACTGACTCACAAAGGATTTTCTTTCCCCACAATCCCCTCAACCAAACCGAGAAATCTTTTTTTCTTACTTTTTGCATTCCTCTTCAATCTTCCACAAAGCTCAGGGCAAGACAACTACTTGCTGTTTTTAAGGGCCACTCTGCAAATGAGAAGCTGGGGTAGCCCGACCTGATGAGTTTCTGGTTCTCCTCTACCCAAACTACCCCAACCAAAAGCTTTAAGAAAACAACTAAAAAACAAAAGGAAAGAAGTACCTTTCGTTGAGATGAATTCAAGATCCATCAAATTTTCTCTCAAAACTAATTAAAATGTTCCAAGTACACAAAGGACAAAAACCTGGAAGTGTGGAAAACCTTACTTTGAGTGCCAGGTAACAGGCAATCCTATCACAGCTAATAAAAGAATTTATTGTAAACATATGTATCTTACACAATTATACAGTATAATACAGATAACATGAAGGATTTAAACATTCAGCATTACAAAAGAGACAATATTTGTAAAGAGATCTTTAGCTTGTATTAAGACTCTTTAAAAAGCCAGGAAACTATACTGTAATATATTGTTCCAATTCTTCTACACCTAACTGGGTGTATGAAATTTTCACCATCTCCCAAGCAATTCTGACAGAAACTTCTTGCTGATTTTTTTCTATCATTTTTCAAAATTCAAAGACCTTATTGCAAACATATCCTACCTCTGCAGAACTAAACAAACACGTTACCTTCTATCTGCTCTTAACAGGGTTTTTTTTTTTTTTTTTTTTTTTTTTAGAAACAAACTTTATTATTGAGACAGCATCTCCTAGGAGAATAACCTGTGGCTGCTCAGAAATCAACAGATCTTCACTGTAAGCACTCTTGATAAGAACAACAGGCATTTACTTGTCCGCTTCATGGACTGGTTCAGGACTCAAAGTCTGAATCTCCATTTTCCAGCACTACAGAAAAGCAGGACACAGGCGAGGAAGCCAGGGATATGCAAGAGGTGCCCCAAACAAGCTCCTGCATCCAGAGCTGCTCTGGGCACAGTGAAATCCCAGAAACCAAGCCCATTACAGAGGGGGCTGGACATGCACGTCACTCCAGGAGATCACAGCACAACTGAGTTTGCACAAAAGGCTGTTCCCATACAGCCTGCAGACTGTTGTAGAGATCTCAAAAATGCTCTAATGTACAAGCTGTGCACAGGAGTGTCTGAAAGCTTTTCGGCTGAGCTTTTGATCCAGCTACAGCCTGTAGACAGTGCAAGGCCTCAAGTTCTACAGCTACCTGGATTTCTCTCTTCTCTCAGCACTGAGCTCAGACATGATGAGCAATCTCTTCAACATGGACCTCATCTGAAAAACTAACGCCAGGGCTATACTGCGCACTTGTTATTTGTGCATGCAATCCTGCTCCAGGCTTACAGAACAACTCAGGATTATCTTTCAAATACAAAGCATCTGAAAGGCCCTTTCTGGAGGCATTTGAGTCCTCCTCCTCTGCATGCAGTCCAGGTTGCAGACACTAGATCTATTTCCTGCGTTCAAGGGCCAAATTCTGCCACTCTTATTCAAGCTGATTGATGCTCCCCATCAGCTCTGATGGGCTGAAAGGGGCTACTGCAGACCCTACTTTATTTAAGACAAAGAAGAAAAGTGGGTTCTCATCTAAGATTTGCTGCTCCTTCCGCAGTTCTGCATTAAATCTAGGCTAGCTCTCCTCGAAGCTTGAAACCACCCAATAACTGAACCACCTTCCACACTTTCTGCACACAGCTGGAGCTACTATCATCATCTTCTAGCCCTGAAAAGCACCAAAAGATTTTATTTTGAAGATTTATGCTCCTATCCCAGACCAAGAAAAGTAACTGTAGTTCCATATTTATAAAAGGCTTTGCATTGTCAAAGCATGGCACCAACATGAGTGGGGCCTCAGTACACTCCTGTGAGGTAGGTATCCTGCTCCCCATTTTAAGAAATAGGGAAACTGAGGCACAGAGTGATTAAATCCAAGGCCCTGCAGCAAAACAGTGACCCAGCTGAGACCAGTGCCTGTGAGGTTCCGGTCGCTGATATACGTTCCACCTGCTCGATAACGCAAGCACCCCAAAAGTCTCACAGTGAACAGGAGTCCCACCAGCCCTACGGCGGTTTAATCACACTGCTAGCAAGAACTGGTAGAGGCAGCGCAGGGGGCAGTGGGTGCGGGTGGGCAGAACATTGCCAGAGAAGCTCTCTCCAGCAAGCTCTCGTTAGTCAGGCTGCCGCCACGTCTTCCACACCAGTGATGTTCCCCAGACAGGTAAGTGCTGTGGTTAGAGGCAGAATTTCTTGCAGTCAAGACATCAGAGGTGCTTCCCACAAGCAGTGATCTCTCATTTTTTGATCCTACCAGGTCTCTGTGTATTGATTAGAACGTAAGACGAAGTGGCGCTGCTCCCATACCACTTCATAACGAAAGCTGATCATCAGTGAATACTGTCAGAGCTGTTCATCTGCCCTTTAGGTTAACACTCCAAAACTTCTGGCAGATGGGGCAGGTACTTGCTGAGCAAGCAAAGAATTTCAGCCACTCCAAACTCACAAGCACTGAAAACTGTCCTCTTCAAGATACTTCAACTCTTCCTTCTTAAGTAGAATAAGTGGCCCGGCAAGTCTTACCAAGCCTGATCATGGTTTATTCATCTTGATGTGAGTATGTGCTAGTTCAGTGAGAAAAAGACCTTCAGACAGGCCAGGAATTTGACCAGGTTACATTTGGCTAAATAAGCTAATGAGAAACCTACCCAACTCTTTATCGGTCATATACATGATGCTCAGGCACAACTTGCAGAATTTATTGCAGCCATCAATAAATGGTTAGGTTTCATCCAAACCTAACCATCCACCACTTAGTCAAACAGCCCACCTTTAAAAGTTGCCCATATTCAGCACGCCAACACAACTGCTCTGCCCACTGCATGTGCAGACCAACTCATAAGTAGTCTGTATCAAAAAGCAGGCAAAGTAACGAAGAATAATTTCTTTTCCAAAAAAAAAACAACAAAAAACACTCAATCAATACAGCTGTCATCACACATACAAGGCCTGTGTAGTCTTTCACAGTTAGCAACTTGATGCAAACTGACAATGTTTGTTCAGCCACTGAACACACACCTACTGAGTAAACACTGACATTTAACAACTTGATTTGGAACAGAGCACGATTTTGTTGTATTAAGGTGCAGCTTTAATTGGAGGTAACAATCTAGTAGCCCAATGTTATAAATGTATATAATAGTGTCCTACAGAAATACTGGATTTGTCATCCCATCTTCCATCATAAATCCACCTTTCCTGTAGCATCTTCTCTGTTCTATTTCATTGTTCCTCATTTAGTATCTTCATATGTTTGTTTGTGAGGAAGTCAAGAAAGGGAATATTACAGATGGCTTTATGAATATTCATCACTGTGATCTCTTTCGGAGTCCTACAGGGAATGAATCAAAGATACTATCACATTACTTAAAGACAATTTTTTATAAAGCAGCAAGGCAATAAATTTACCAATAGGAAGAAAGAAGTTTAAAAAAAGGCTAACAGAGTAGATGTTAAAACAACACAACATTAACAACATTAATACTTGAACTCAGATATTATATGTGTGTAAACACATATACATGTATGTGCACAGGTTTATTAAATATAAGATTTTAACGAAGTATTTTCTCAAACTCCCTTTTTTTTTTTTCCTTTCTCAACTTCAAATTATCCCAGAGCCTGCTAGTGCTGGTATGTACTTTCTGGCAGGTGCAATCCTGGCTGATGAATGGAGGCCCAAGGGGAAATAAGCCACGGTACCTGTTGTGAGGTGCTGTCTGGTACGCTACAGCCAGTGCCTGCCGCAGGATATCACTCATAAGCTGTTCAGTGGCCTGTGACAAAAGGCAAAATTGGGCAATGACATTATGGAAAAAGCTGCTGCTTGAGTATCAGTATAGCTGAACATTGGAACTTTGGCTTATCAAATCAGTAGGGGCAGTACAAGAGACTCAAATGATTTTTAATAGCACAGAATTATTATTATAAGAATTGGATCCATTTAACAGAGAGAGAGAGGATGAGCAGAACTCATGACTGCAGTTGCCCACGTCTGGTTTCCTCCTGGACCTGCAAAGTAGCATGTGCACTACAGGGTGGATCTGACAGCTAAAGAGTTACTGCTTTGAGAGTATTTTATGGCCAAGCCATAAAGATGTTGGTTTTTACATCCAGATATAAAACCAGATATTCTTACAGGATCAGTCCGTACTTGTTTGCCAGTCTGTGGCTACCAGGCTTGTGTGTAGCCAAACACATAAACCAAAGGCTGGCTTCCAGCATGGACAGCAGCCACATGCCCTCCACGCTTGGCTTAACCAGGGTTCAATCAGAAGTTAATTAGGGCTCTGAGCTCTCTGTGATTACAGTAAGGCTAGAAGGGAGGTTTCAGGAATGTTTGGTCAGAAAGAGTGGAATGACTACAATTCTACTGCAGCAATCGCTACGATGTGTGTCAACAAATGGATTTTATCTGTTCTTAACTTCACACAGGATAACTAAGCTCAGCAGAGCACATGTGCATGCTTATGCATATGCTGAAAACCTGTAATCCATCAGCTATTATAAAATCTGATAAGCAACAATCTCTATAAACAATCTCAAAAATGGTCTTTGGCTTGAAAAAGAGCAGAGCACTGCTAAAAATAACCTAGTCTTCAGCCCAAACACAGGAACTCCAAATCTGTGCTGTTGCTTTGGTAAGCAACAGTCTCCATTCTCTAAAACTGAGTATGACAAATAAATGTCTTCTTGTAAAAGGAAGAAGTGAAGTTCTGCAGACTTCAGGGATTCGGTGTCTTATTAGCTAATGGGCTAAAACTAACTGAACAGTAATTAGGAAAAAAAGGATCTAATCCTCTCTCAATAAAACCAAGTCTTCTAGAGGTGTGGCGGGTCTTTTTTTTTCCTCCTTCCCATTTTGAGAGGCAGGACAAAGTAGTTCTCTATAAGTTAATAGAGAGTTAAGTCAGTATCTCAATGGAGTTTAACAGCTGCAAATCACTATTTTAAGTCCAAACCAACAGACCAGTTAAAATGCATATTAATATGGATATTTCCTTTTTTTTTTTTTTAAACATTATTACATTATGTGGATAAAGTAGACAATACAGCCATGGGAAAGTTAGTGTGCTATTATGAGGGGGTTTTTTTACCTTTAAAATCATATCTTCTATTACGGATGCATAAACATCCTTGTGTACCTCAGCAGGATGAAAAGAAATCCCGATCTATAAAGTATGAGAGGAAAAACAAGAGACAAATTAGTAGATCAAGCAACGTAATCAATAATTGCAACAGTTGAAGTGACATGGAGATCATTTTAGAAACAATCCATTACAACAAGTTTATAAAAAAAACTGCAAAACTTTAGGGCAGTATAACCTCAAGAGTATATTAAAAAATAAATAAATAAATAAAGGGGG